ACCGCTGAGCCACACCGGCCAGGGCTGGGTGGTTTTGCTGTAGGGATCCCAGTGGACCCCGTCTTCCCACCTCGCTCAGGGGGGTCACTCCCCCACGCCCCCTGCTCCGCAGCTCTGCCGTCAGCCTTGGAGGGAGGCGCGTCCAGGGGGACCTTCCTCCATCACACCTGGACGCCTCCTTGGTCATGTCGTCACCACCCACGACCATGTCAGCGCTGAGCAGCCTCCTGAGCTGTCTCGGGGGCCCGGCTCCTACAGCTGGTCGGCGCGTGAGGGCAGGCCGTGGGGGAGACGGGAGGGAGACGGCAGCTGACCCCCGCCAGAGTCACGGACACGCAGCAGTGAGGGGGCCTGTGTCCTCAGGAGGCTGTTCCCAGGGCGCAGAGGGCCGGCCCGCAAGAGTGTCCGCTCTGGGGCCCCAGTCCTGCCGCCCACAGACTGACCGGAGGGCCCAGGCGCACCCAGGAGGGAGCTGCCCACAAAGGGACGTGTCAGGCGGGCTGGGATGACCCCCAAGTGACTCAGCTTCTTTCCTCCCACCGGCTGGCACCCCTCACGGAGCGGCCGGGCTCCGAGGGACATCTGCTCGCCCTGCCGCGCGCCCCCTGGTGGACGGCGCGCTTTGCCCCGCCCCGGCCTGGCCAGCAGCTGCGCTCGGGCCGTCGGAAGCGGTGAGAATCCCTCGGGCTCTTCGTCCCCCACACGTCGTGTCCACGCGTGGCCCTGCGTGGCTCACGGACGTTCTGCAGTAACGTCTCGGCTCGGGGACGAGACCGCAGCCGCGGAGACGCCGGATTTGAATGTAAGGCTGCTTCCTCATAAACATTTAAGGGGAAATTAAAGTTTAAGTACTGAATTCCCTCACCAGTTAAGGTTCAAAAACAGTAGAGGTCGGAGGAACGGCAGCGGCTGCCTCGGCCGACAGCGGCCCCTTCGCGGCTCTGCTCTGGCCACGGTCAAGATGCCCAGGGACAGCGGGCTTTCCTTCGGACCCGAGCGGTCACACTGCGCCTCGTGTGCGGTCACCTGGGTGAAGGCCCAGCCACGCTCACACCAAGGTGCAGGCCTGCACCGCTCGAACCCAGGCACACCGTCGGCCCCTGAGGTGGTGACAGGGTTCTGGGTCAGAGTGCAGATGGGGGATGGGGGAAGTGGGGGTGGCTTTTTGGGGGCAGGTGTGACCTCGTCCTCCCAGCCAGCGTTGAGCCAGCAGTCAGGACGTCCTGCTGGGAGGACCAGGTGGGGGGACAGACAGGCCTGTGGTCTCCTTGCTCTCCGCCCGCAGACCCGGGGGAGGAGGAGGGGAGGGGCAGCCCCCCGTGACGTGCTTAGGCCCAGATGCGCAGGGTCCACGGAAGAGGCAGAACACGCGATGGAAGATGTCCTGGGCTGCCCTTCAGCAAACCCTCACACCCCCAACCAGGACAGCGGGGTCCTGTCAGGGGTCCAGCTGCAGATTTGGATCGGCAAACAGTGTCTCACCTGCCTCAGACCCGGACGCTCGCAGACCGCTCGGCGCACAGGGCGGCCCGTCACCGGGCGACTCGGGAGCAGAGAGTGGCTCCCGGCGGCCGCTCACCCAGGGGCCGGGGCGGCCGCTCACGCTGCACCCAGAGCAGAACCGGCCTCCTGGAGAGACCGCGGGTCAGGAGCCTCCCCCGGTGGCCGTGAATTCCGGAGGGGGGCCCCGTTCCCAAGCCCTGTTCATTACGCAAACAACGTGGATGACGAGACCACTTGTTGAGCTATTTAAAGTGCCTTCTGCTGTAAAAGAACAAGTCGTCACAGTGTAAAAATCACACGTTCCTAACGTCCACCGATCCTTCCATCACATTTTCAGAAAAATGGAGAGACATGATTTATTAATAGGCTCCTCTCATCCCCCTCATAAATTAGTCATCGCGTCTCCGCTCCAGGCTGACAGACAGAAAAGGGGGTGAAGCCGCTGAGAACGGACCCCCTCCCGTCCCGAGGAAAAGCAGAGCCGGCGACGGGACGGCGCAGGCCACTCGGGCTGCCCCGGAAGTCACGGCCGTGAGCCCGAGGCCGCCGGGCGGACAGCGTCCCGTGGGCAGCGTCTGGTCTGCGGGAAAATGTCCTGGGACGCAGCCCAGGGGCCCAGCCGCAAATATCCGGGGGAGGAGCCGGCGGGAGGGGCTTCTCTGCAGGGAGGAGCACCGGCTGGGCCCCAGATTCCGGGGGGTGCTCTGGGCACGGAGGCCAGACAGCAGGAGGGGAAGGGGCCACCATGACATTCGCGGAGGGCTGTTCTGTACGGGTCCTGCCTCGAGGAAGCCAGTGCAGCAGGGCCTGACCTGTGAGGGCCCCTCGCAGCCCAGCTGACCCGGGGAGGAAGCACCAACCTTCTGAGCCCCCCTGGCCATCCTGCCCCATCTTCCCCACTGGCCTGGGGCAGGCCTGAGACACAGGGGTGGGCCCCAGGTCAGAGCAGGCCTCCTCCTGGCCCGGTCACCGCGTGGGCCCCGCCGGCCTGTCACCGCCCCAGACACAGGGCTCAGGGCCTCCAGCAGCAGGTGTGGGGAGACGGCCCTCCTCGTCGGCAGCTCCTGCAGGCCGTCCAGGCCGGCAGCCCCTCAGGACCGGCCCAGGAGAACCTCCGTGCGGAAGCCAAGGGTTCTGAGGAGCAGAGGGCCGTCCGGTGGGAAACAGCAAAACCCAGCGTCCCCCAAGGAACGGGTCACAGGTTGTATCCGAAAGCACCACAGCGTGGTTCCCATGTTTGCTTGATTTAAGTTAGGCTCCCGAATCCCTAAATCAACAGCGGATTCTGCAAATTGCTGCGTAAGAGGAAGCGGTGGTGGAAGGGCCTGCTGTGCGGAACCACGGTGGCGCAGCGCCCTCTGCAGGGCTCGGCGGCCTGCGCGGGACAGGCCGGCCGGTCTGCAGCAGACGCCCTCACAAGGCAACGGGAGCTGCTTGCTGAAACCAAAGAGCTCCCGGGCCCAGCAGGACTTGGGGGTGGCCAATGAAAGGCAGGGAACGGGGGGCCGGCGGGGGGACGGTTTGGAGGAAAAGATCTTTATCTGAACCGGTGCTTCCCAGTTCAGCAGAGTCTGCAGACATGGTGCTGGATGAGCCTCCAACCAGGGACGAGCCCTCCAGGGCCCCAGGCCCCACGGTGCGGCTGCCCCCAGTCACAGGAAGAACCTGGGGGTGCAGCTCCGAGTCCCAAACCCAGGACGTGCACACTTGCAGGTGACCCCGCCAAGGCAGAAGCTGGGACAGGACACTCTGCATGTCGGGGCGGGGGGCTTCTCTCTGTCCCCCACCTCCCAGGCCTCTCTGCTCTCTGTTCCTGTCTGCTCCCCCCTCCAGACGTCCTGGAGGCCTCTAACAATGCGGGGTGCTGAGCTGGGGCTCTGGGGAGACAGCCGGGGAGGACCCTTAGGGAGATGGGGCTTTCTCCTCAGAATCTGTGATGTGGTCTGGACACTGGGCCTGAGAAGCCGCAGACAGGATGTCTTCAGATTTGAGAAAAGGAACAGATGACGGATGACTGGAGTCTCTTTTTTCCTATTAATTTTTCAGAATTTGATGGCAACTCTTGTTTGCGCCTTTGTTTTGGTAAATGACTCTGTTTCCTGGTGTAAAATCACTTCAGATGTGAGGATAACAGCTACATAAACAGAGTGCCCCAGGGCCCGCGAGCTCCAGGCAGGTGCTGGGCAGAGGGGATTCGAGCATTTCTTCACCCACCCTCTCATCCCCCATCCCCCATCCATCCGTCCACACATCCCCTCATCCATCCATCCATCCATCCATCCCCTCATCCCCCATCCCCCATCCCCCATCCATCCATCCACCCACCACCATCCATCCATCCATCCACCCATCCATCCATCCATCCCCTCATCCCCCCATCCATCCATCCCCCCATCCATCCCCTCATCCATCCCTTCATCCCCATCCCCCATCCATCCATCCATCCCCTCATCCCCTTATCCCCTATCCCCCATCCATCCCCTCATCCCCCATCCCCCATCCATCCATTTATTTCCTCATCCCCCATCCCCTTATCTATCCATCCCCATCCATTCATCCATCCATCCCCTCCTCCCCCATCATCCATCCATCCATCCATCCATCCCCTCATCCCCCATCCCCCATCCATCTCCTCATCCCCCCATCCATCCATTTATACACTTATCCCCCATCTATCCATCCATCCATCCATCCCCTCATCCCCCATCCATCCATCCCCTCATCCCCCCTCTATCTATTTATACCCTCATCCCCCCATCCATCCATCCATCCATCCCCTCATCTCCTCATCCCCCACCCATCCATTCACCCCCCCCCCACATTCCCACCCCTGTACCTGTCTGCACTGACCCCAGACAACAGAAGTGCTGAGGACTCGCATGGGAAGTGTCCTGGCCTGTGGAGAGACACGGGACTGGAGGCCGCCCTGCGCTGATGGTCTTGCTGGGCTGTGGCTGGAGGCTCAGGGCCGCGCGTCAGACAGACCCGAATTCAGACGCTCACTGGGCTGATCGAGGAGTGCCCTCCGCGGGTAAGCCTACCTCCCTGCCCCCAGGTCCTCGTCTCTACGTGGGGACAATAAATCAACTCCAGGCACCATCACGAGGGTCCAGGGGACAGAGCAGGCTGGGCACATCCAGCCACACCCAGCCGGCTCCTTTGCTGGCCCCTCATCTCTGCTGCCCCCTCCTGGTCGCCCTCCCTGGGCTGCAGAGCAAACAGGAGCGAGGCCGAGTGAGGAGAGAACATGGGGTCTCCGCTGGAGACACCTCTGCCCTCCACGCCCAAGCGGGCATCTCTAGGTCCCCGATGGAGGGAGCACAGAGCAAGAACGACCCTCACAGCAGCAGGAGGGGGCCTGGGGGAAAGGGGGGCTGCCAGGCTGTGTCATGACCACTGTCCCCCAGAGTCCTCACGACAGCAGAAGTACGTCTTGTCACCATCCCCCTTCACACGTGATGACCGTGAACAGGCACCCCTGGGTCTCACTGGGCCTGAGCGGGTACGAGGGGGGCCTGGGAGGATAGGGCCCCCACCCAGAAACGCACCTTCTGTTTCAGAAAATAGGGAGCTTTCTGGTTGTTTGAATCACCTGGTGTCCATCAGGGAAGCCGCCAAGTTTCATGGGGAAGGACGCAGAGCTGGGACAGCGAGGGGCCAGCCTCTGTCAGCGGCCACCACCCCGCCCTGAAACAAAACAGCCCTGGGCCCCCACCCCACTCCCCGGGCCCCCCACCCCACTCCCCGAGCCCCCCACTCCCTGGGCCCCCCCACCCCACTCCACTCCCCAAGCCCCCCACTCCTCAGGCCCCCCACCCCACTCCCTGGGCCCCCCACTCCCTGGGCCCCCCCACTCCACTCCCCGAGCCCCCCACTCCTCAGGCCCCCCACCCTACTCCCCAGACCCCCACCCCACTCCCCGGGCCCCCCACCCCACTCCCCGAGCCCCCCACTCCCTGGTCCCCCCCACTCCACTCCCCGAGCCCCCCATTCCTCAGGCCCCCCACCCCACTCCCTGGGCCCCCCACCCCACTCCCCAAGCCCCCCACTCCTCAGGCCCCCCACCCCACTCCCCGGGCCCCCCACTCCCTGGGCCCCCCCACTCCCCACCCCTCCACCTTACTCCCCGGGCCCCCCCACCTGCCTGGCACTCTCCTGCCTGGACTCTGAGCAGGGCCCCCTGGAGGGCTGGGTGGCCCTGCCCTGCACCGTCCTCCCTCACAAGCCCCTCCTGCCTCCCAGCTTCCATACTTACTGGCTCCCCACTTTTAAATGTTCCCCCCAATCTTCTCCAGCGTCCACTTTTTATTCGTCAGGGCCCCGGGGTTTCTGTCCTTCACTCTTGGCCGAGCAGGCCGGGGGGGGGGCCCTCCATGCCCTGTCCTGGGGCCGGGAAGACCTGTCCAGTCTCCAGGCTGCACGGGTGAGGCGGCTGGACCTGGGGACACAGGGAGGCCGGGCAGGCTGCGTCTGGACAGGGGAGCGTGTCCTCCGCAGGCCCGGACAGACCTGCGCTCCACAGGTGCGCCGGCCGAGGGGCCGCTTCCCTGGACCAGAAAGACCCCTCTGTCCTCACCACTGCAGCCTCCCTGGGCGTCCGTCCTGCCGTCTGGAGCCCCGTCAGCATCTGGGGCGCACTCCAGGGTCCAGCCCACGATCTGCCGTAGGGCTTCTGCACCTGCACCCCTGGGGTCCCTTAGGGAACCATCACCCCCACCGGGTGTTTCCTCATCTGCGGCAGGACTCAAGGGGTCCGCGTCCTGCGGGCCCAGTTGTGTGGGGGCTCTGCCTGAGACGAACCGCGTGCAGGGGAGAGAGGAGGGTGAGCAGTGGCCGGCCGGTGTCCCTGAGCCACCCTCGTCCAGGCGGGAGCCCGGCGGCCACCCCTCCCGTTCCAGTTCCCACAGACTCAGGACTCGGACCATTTCCCTCCTGTCCTCCCCTGGATACCCTGCCCACCTGGGACTCCCCGCCGGAGCCCCCAAGGGAGCCGCCCTGACCCCACCCTCAGCCTCGCCCTGTGGGCAGGGGATTCCCCCGGACACCGTGAAACAGGGAAAATAAACACGCAGAGGTTAAGGCAGGTGACACCGGTCCTGAGGAGCAAATTCCCTTTCATTACTCCAACCGGCTCCATGTATTACCTACGAGGATTATCTGACTCTCTCGTGGTTGGAACTTCGTTCACTTCCCTGTTTATTAGGAAACTCAATTCCCAACCAGAGCGGCCCCAAGCTCATACTTTCTCTTCGCAATGCATTCGGAGCCCAGAAGTGGGGGCGCCCAGACCCCCCAGAGCCCTGCCCTGGTGCCAGGAGCCTCGGCTGGGCCAGGGGTGCTCCTGTCTCCTCACCTTCCGGGGCCGCTCCCCAGAGGGCCCCACCTTCAGGAGAGCAGACAGAGCTGCCTAAGCTCGGGGACCCCCACATTCTGGGCCCTCTGCACCCATCCTGGCCCCCCAGATGAGGCAGGAGCTCTGCATGTGTCGGCGGTGGGTCTGGGGGTGTCTCCCCGAGTTCCTTCCACGTTCGGAGCTCGAAGGAGGTGCTGAGACACGCAGTCCTGCCTCGGCTCCGTGGGCAGGCGCCGTGGTCAGCACCCCGTTATGAGTAACGCAGAGGAACAGAGAGTCCGTGACTGGCCAGGAGCCTCGAGCTCCTTGGGGGCAGCCTGGCTCCTGGAGCAGCCTCTGCACCTCTGAGCTGCCCAGTATGCAGACAAGGTGCCAGCTCGGGCAGGGCGGAGGCCGAGCCATCACTGCGGACACTGGGAGCCCGTCCCAGGGTCAGCCACAGGGATCCGGGGGCGGGGGCAGGAGGGGGCGGCAGGGCCACAGATGCCCTCATGAGGCGGGAACGTGGCCCATAGATGGGGAGCCAGGTTTTCAGCAGGGGGGTCTCAGGACCGCCCGGCCCGCGTGGGGACCCGGAGGAGCGAAGTCTGAAGGGTGCTCAGGCCACTGGACTAAGGGGACGGGACTGGGGGACGCGGTGTCTGGGGCGTGGAGGGAAGGGGGCGCTGCCTAGTGCGCCGGAGACGCAGGGCGCTGCCCGGAGTACAGCGGCTGGTGCCGGCAGAAAACAAGGCTTCGGCGTTTTAATAAATTGAAAACAAAACTTGAAGCTCCAGCCCTCTGGGTAAACTCTCCCTGGGAATTAATTTCTGAGATAAATGATTTTGAAATTGCATGGCCATCTCGCCTAAGCCCCCAATGCTCCCCGGATCAGACAGCTTCATCGCAATGGCCCTGACGGCTGAATGACACCTCCATCCCCGCCGCGCCGACACCTGCCAGTGGTTTATGGGCAAAGTGTGAATTCCTCCAGCTGAGCCGGATTCTCGGTGAAATTGGATGAGGGCGAGGCGCCGGCGGAGGGGCTGCGCTGGGAGGGGAGCAGGGAACAGGGGTCCAGGCCGAGGAGCCAGAGAAGGCCTGAGCGGTCCAGAGGCCCCTGCCCCGAAGTGACAGGTCGGCCACAGAACCTCACGCCTCATGGCGGGGGGCTGGGCGGACACCATTTTCTTTAGGGGCACGATTCCTTCCTTAGAGAGAAACCAGACACCGGCCAGTGAAAATGTCACGTGTCTGAGCAAAAGCTGCTACACGGCGTCCACCAGCTGGTGGGGTGCCCCCAGGAGCCTCCTCTGCCCCTCTGTGGGCCAGGCCGTGTCTTCCCCAAAGGAACGCACAGAACCCGACAGAAGTGAAGGGTAGGACGCTGTCTCCCCGCGTGGGCCCAGCAGCCTGGCGCCCACACGTAGGTGCTGAGAACACGCCGGCGCGATTCTCTGCGGGGACAAGTGCAGGGTTTGGAGACAATCCTCCAAGACAGGGAGGAAAAGGGGGCGTGGGGTGGGGGGCATGTTAAGACCAAGAACCACCAAGAACACGAGAGGGCAACCCACTGAATGGGAGAGGGTATTTGCCAAAGACACCGGACAAGGGGCCAAGGTCCAACATGTACAAAGAATCTGTACAAGTCAGCAACAGAAAACAAATAATCCGATTGAAAAATAGGCAGAGCGGCCGGTGTGGCTCAGTGGCTGAGCGTCGACCCTGCACCAAGAGGTCACCGGTTCGATTCCCAGTCAGGCACATGCCCAGGCCGTGGGCCAATCCCCCGTGGGGGGCCTACAGGGGGCGGCCCATCGATGTTCTCTCTTATCGATGTTTCTATCTTGCTCTCTGTCTCTAACATCAACAAAGGAAAAAAATTGGTTTTTAATTAAAGAAAAAAAAAAGAAAAATGGGCAGAGGGCCTGAACAAATATATTTCCAAGGAAGACACACAGACGGCCAGCAGACACATAGAAGGTGTCCAACGTGACCAATGACTAGGAAAGTGCAAACCACGCAAGAGACCCCACCTCAGCCTCTCAGGACGGCAGCAGAAGACAGGAAGTGAGTGCTGGCGCGGGCGTGGAGAAAGGGGCCCTCGGGCACGGTGGGTGGGAAGGTCAATCGGTGCGACCACTGTGGGACACAATCTAGGTTCCTCAGCGTGTTAAGAATAGAGCTACCATGTGATCCAGCAACCCCTCTCTGAGTGCTTAGCCAAAGAAATTCAAAACACTAATTCATAAAGACATAGGCACCCCTGTGTTCACTGCGGTGTTATTTACAACAGCCAAGGTATGGAAGCAGCCAAGTGCCCATCAATAAAGAAGCGGACAGCCCTGGCCGGTCTGGCTCAGTGGTTAGAGCATCGGCCCACGGACCAGAGAGTCCTGGGTTTGGTTCCCGCTAAGAGCATGTACCTCGGTTTGCAGTTCGTCCCCGCCCTGGTTGGGGTCGTGTGGGTGGCAACCAGTCGATGTGTCTCTCTCACATCGATGTTTCTCTCTCTTCCTCCCTCTCTCCCTCCTGCTCTATCTGAAGATAAATGCAAAAATGTCCTCGGATAAGGATAAAAAAAAAAAAAAGAAGTGGATAAAGAAGATGTGGTACAGTCCTGCTGGTGTGGTTCAGTGGACTGAGCGTTGTCCCGTGGACTGAGAGGTCCCGGTTCAATTCCCAGTCAGGACACATGCCTGGGTTGGGGCTCCATCCCCAGTAGGGGGCGTGCAGGAGGCAGCTGATCTATGTTTCTCTTTTCCTTCCTCTCTCTCTGAAAAATCAATAAAAACATAATTTTTAAAAAAGATCTGGGACATTTACACAATGGAATATTACTCAGCCATGAAAAATAAACTCTTACCCTTGTGCTGACATGGACGGCCCTAGAAGGTACGATGCTAAGTGAAATAAGTCAGGCAGAAAAGGACAGAATCTGTGAGGTTTCGCTCTTCTGTGGAATCTAAAACAAAGCAACAAATGAGCAAACAAAAAACAAACAGACACAGACAACTTAGTGGCGGGTACCAGAGGGAAGGGGTGGAGGGAGAATGGTGAGGTACGTGGTCACACACACGGTGACGGAAGCCAGGAGACCTCGGGGGTGACGCTGTGGGGTGCACAGAGGTCATGTGGTAGGGTTCACACCTGACGCAATGCTATTAGCTAGTGTTACCCCAATACAATGTTACCTCAATGCATTTCTTTAAAGATACTGAAATAGAGGCAAACAGCCCCTGAGCTTGAGCAGTGTAGACATCCAAACACTGCAAGATGCTGGATTTTATTACAAAAAATTAAACACTTCTACTTAAAAAAAAAAAAAAAAAGGCTAAATAATTTAAAAGGCAAAGGTCAGCGGGGACATGGCTTCCTCCCGTGTGTACCTGTGCTCCCCACTTGTGTGCACCGACCTCGGACAGACAGACCTCAGTCCGGTCCCTCAGGACAGGCCCGCCAGGGGCGGGGGGAGGGGCAGGACTTGCCCACAGACCTGCTGGAGTCTCCCCGCGCCGGGGCTCAGCTTCCCAGTTCTCACTGCTGCAGCACCCCCAGATCCGGGGGGCTCACCCCTTTTGTAATAAAGTCTGGAATTTCCTAATTTGGGGATCTCATCAATGTTTTAAATTCAGGTTTTCCCATCGGTGTGAACGCAGGCCCAGAACCTCCATGCAGGGTCTACTGCCCCAGTGACCTTGAGTGACCTTGGGCTGGTCACACACCACCACCCCCAGTTCTCTCACCTGTGACGTGGGCCCAGGCCTCCGAGGGCTAAAGGGGGCAATGGGGCGCCTCTAGCCACGTCAAGCTCAGCCCCCACCGCGGGGATGAGCCCCACCCTGGAGCTTCCGGACAAGAAGATATACGACATCGTGCCTGAGCCCTGCACCCAGCACCCCGCAAGGGGGGTCTGCTTGGAGGGAGGGCCCGCACCCCGTCACCCAGTCCTACCCCAGACTCAGGTCTCACACCCTTCTCCAGCCCCCAACTCTAACATACAGCCCCTGACGGAGGAGTCTCTGCCCTTAGAGAGAGTTTTAGCTCAAGGACACCCCCAAGGACAAGGCCTGGCCCCGGCTCTGACCCTGGGGCCGACCCACAGAAACGGTACAGTGTCTTCCCTGCGTGAGACGTGGACGTGGACACGAAGACAGGGACCAGGGAGGAACTGAGCAGGTTCGCGCACCCAGGAGACCGAGGGGTCTCCCCCCACCTAGCCCTCCTGAGCCACACCCATAGGGGAGTTCAAGGCTGGCGCTCACCAAAGTGGGGACTGGAAAGACAGGGGGGCCAGTCCTGTCTCCCTCTGACCTGAGACACAGTGTGGCCATGATCGTGGAGGACACCAGCTCGTGGCCATGGCCCTGTGCTTTCCCGGTGCCCATGCCCATCAGAACCCCGATGAGCTCCTTAGTGCCACGCCTGCCCCTCGGGGAGGGCACGCCACACTGCCCAACCCGGCCAGGACACAAACCCACCCTCTCCAGCCCCTCTGATGGCACTTATTCCAAGGGTGACCTGCCCGGCAGTGTCCACAAGCCCAGACCCGGACCTTTAACAGGGACGGTATCAGCACCTGCACAGGTGTCCCGGCCCCAGGCACTTCGGTTCCCACGGCTCGTTAAAGGACACCAGTCCCTCAGGGACGGGCCAGACTCAGGCTGCCAGGGACATGTCATCACACACGGCACACACCTCGCCGCTCGCTCCCCAGGGCACAACTCACTGGAAACAAGACGGGCCTCC